TCTAATGTATAATTCTAATTTTACAAAAAAATTATCATAAAATAAAAAATATTATTACATTATAATATGAATGATTATTCTAATATATGAATTAACTATTTTTATTTTATTAAAAAATAATCATTAAATAAAAAATATTGATTATATTATAATATGAATTATCATTACAATTTTCAAACGTTATTATAAAGTCAAATTAAATTATTGATTTGAAATTTTAAATTAAATCATAATTAATCAGATCAGACCAGATTAGATAAGATCAGATCAAATTCAATCAGATCAGATCAGATCCAATCAGATCAGATCAGATCCAATCAGATGAGATCAGATCCGATCAGATCAGATCAGATCCAATCAGATCAGATCAGATCAGATCCAATCAGATCAGATCAGATCAGACCAGATCGGATTAGAACTTATTAGAATCAGATCAGATCAGAATAAATAAGTTGAACGGAACGGAGCCTAAATAGATCTTCTTTGAGGATTTGATCTGATCTTATTATATTCGAATTTCATTTGATCAGAATAAATCTGTTTTGGTATATTTGTACTAATTAGATCCGATCTGGTCCTTTTAAAGATTACATTAGGAAAATAGGACACGACCTATATAAAAGTTTAGATTTTCTTGGAAGATTTGATTTGATCTTTTTGAATTTGATTTTGATTTGATCCGATTAGATCGGTTTTTGTCCAATTTGATTTAATTAGGTACGATCCGATGCATTTAAAGATTAGATTAGGGAAACAGGACACAACATATATAAGTAAATAGATCTTCTTTGAAGGTTTGATCTGATCTTATTATATTCGAATTTAATTCGATCAAATTAAATACGGAGTATGTTTTGATATAATTTGATCTAATTACTGATTTAATGCGTTTAAAGATTAGATCGGGCAAATAGGACACATCATATACAGCTGAATAGATTTTCTTTGAATAATTATGATCTGATCACATTGGATTTGGATTTGATTTGATCCGATTAGATCTATTTTGGTCTGATTCGATCTAATTAGGTCCGATCTCATGCATTGAAACCAGACCTAACCCGGCTTGTTTGAAGCGGGCCGATTCCACGGGTCAACGGGTCCGAACCTATCATGATACTAATATTAAAAAAAATAAAGGGATAATAAATTAATTTAAGTCATCCAACACAAAAAAAGAAGCGTAAATGAAAATAAAACAATGACAAAGAGGGGCATGAGAATAAAATGTACACCCCATGATTATCCAAGAAGAACAAAAAAAGAAGACAACCACATTTTGGCATTATAATTTTAATGGGTTCCAAAAAGAACAAAATTCACAATCTTCATAGGTTCCGACTCTCTGATTACGAAAAATTTTCTCACTTTTCTGTCTGCGGTTGGAAGGACCGAAAGATTAAATGGCTTAGGCGGGTATATTTCTGTATATCCGTATATTTACTAGAAAAATATTAAAAATAGTATTGAAATTTAAAAAAAAGGTCCGGTCTGGGTCCAAAACAATTTCAAAATAGAGAACCGGACCGACCCTAAAATCTATAAAGACAAGACCAACACGGAACGTTTGAAATTTTTGAAAAGAGGACCCGACCCTAACCCGAACCGAACCTAGCGGTCCGGTTCTAATTCGCGGTTCCTGGACCCAATTGCCCTAGAAAGGAGTATAAAATTTTAGCCTCCAAAATGAATTTTTAGGCCATAATGAATTTTACAAATCCCTCTTCAAATATTCAAAATCCTTTTCAAAATCATCCCAATTTTATTTCAAATTTTGAAAATCCAAACTCAAACCAAAAAATTGTCTCATACAAAACATTCCTCCACCAAAAAAAAGTCTCAACCAAACCAACAACCCAGGAATGTTCTTGTGTGCGGTTCCCGTTGATTACTCCATCGTTCTGAAGCCTTTTCATTGCGATTTTTGGAGCTTCCTCTTCGTATCCTTATTGCGCAACTCTTGGTGAACTTATCTTGGGGTTTTTGGGGATGGATCGCGATTAATCGTAAGTCAACGCCTACGATGCACTGTTCATCAACGAGCGAGAACTTCGATTTCATCTCGATTCGAAATCAATTGGAGGCCATACTTTAGATATTTTTGACAACCTTGAGTGCACTTTCAAGGTTTGAAGTTGGACTTCTTTATCCTTTATCCTCGTTTGTTTGTGTTGTGTCGTTGGATTTGTTTGTACTGTTCACTACGTGTTCTTGAAGTTGGATTTCTTTATCCTTTGTCCTCGTTTGTATATTTGTACATTCGAGTTAGATCTATTTTGTTTGTATTTTTATAAACAAAGGATAGAAAGGGAGACATGAATTTTCAAGATTTTTTTATACCCAGAAACAGAAAATGTCAGAAAGATTCAAGTAATTTTTTCCCTCTTTGTTTTAGTGGTGTATGTTGTTGAGCCTTTGTCGGGACTTTTGGGTGCTTCTGTGCCAGAATTTTACGCCTACACCAGAAATGGGTATAACATTTCATTTACCATAACTCTATTTAACTGATGAATACTGCGATATGTTTTACTGCATTAACTTGTTCAAATGGACTCTAGTTGGTTCCATCTATGACGAATTTCCATCGTGTTGCATTCTAGGACCCTTATATATCGTGACATCTACATATTGTAAAGGGGATGTTCTTCCTGTGCTAGATTGCTGCGAGAGAAACTGGAGTTTTTGGCTTCAAATAATGGAAACAAATACTATACATGAATATAATTCTCCAGTCATACACGTTTCATATTTAATCCCGTTGTTTAATCCATCAATCACTGCGTCTTACAGAATGATAAACGAGAAAGAGTGGTAAAAGCAAGTCGGGATATTACTATGAACAGCAAAAAGGTCATATTCAGGTTCACGGGTAACACAAAGTCTTTATACTGCAATCCTATGAGTTTATCCTAGATATAGGTTTTTAAGTTCAGATACGTTGTTTTTCTCTTGAAATATACCTTATGGAATTCCTTTTTAAGAAATCAGTGACAGGAACATATCTTTGTCATTTATCCTTTTGGCATGAATTCATAGTGGCAACTTAATTTAGCTGATAGGTTGACACTAAACTTCATGAAAGTTGTTGAGTGAGTGTAAACTTCACACTGCTCTACTCTTATTTGCAGGATGAGTCTGAACAACAAAGATGAAGTTTTGGAGAAGGAAGACAAAGATCTGGATGTTGTGGCAGCATAATATTGGTCTCGCCTGGTAACGAAGCTGCAGGGGACTGATTTCTGGAAGCTAAGACAAGCATATTCTCCCGTTGTGAGTTATTCAAAGCATCTTCTGACACTTTTATAAGCTTTTCACTCCTAATATTTTGTGTTACCTTTATTAACCTATAAGGTTTTGTTTCCAACTTCCAGGCTCAAGAATATGTTGAAGCTGCCACACTTTGTCACTTCTGCAAGACTGGGACCCTTATAGGCCTTGATGAGCTGAAAGCCTACCTGATTCCATTGAGCGCTCCTTCACCAAAATAGTTTTTTCCGGGCAATGCTAAATCCACTTCACTATTTTCAGTGAACACTTGAGTAGATTCATCCACATTTATATGAGGCATTAATGGAGGTGCAATACATGCTGAAAGAGGCATATAAATTCCTGATACCAAATTGAAGAGCCTCTTGTTGCTGGAAGAGCATGTTGTCGTTTGTTGTGAAAACCAACAATCAAGATGTCTGTTATGGGGAATTTCTCTCCTTCATTGAACTTGTCCCTTCAATAATAAGTTCAACCAACTTCATGGAATGGCTAGAGATTATACGTTCTAGGTTGATTCACAATGATCATTTCAAGAGTTATTGGGGTTCTGCTGGCATGTGGGAGATTCAAGTTCAATCCACGAAGATTCTCAAGATTGGGTACCTCACTTCTTCCTCTGTAGCAGCAACAACCTATATCATAGGAATATGATGGATTGAAGATGCAGGCATGTAGAATATGCAAATTGTAAGGAAGATGATGTAAATATTAAAATATTATATGTTAATAATATTTTAAATGTATGAATTTATATATTGTTCAATATATTGTATTTTTTTGAATTTATATTTATATGGTAATCAACACAAAACAACAGATGTCTAATAAAAAATTCAATTACCATTCAAACTAATAGTTTGAAAAGTATATGTACAACTATACAAACCAGTAGTGTTAATAACATTTAGACAATCCAAACGAACAGTTGTTTGAAATACTACAAAAATAGTAGTTCATATTTTTAAAATACAACGTGAAATAATAGTGGTCTGAAGCAAATTTATTTAGTAATCTTTAGAGTAGCTGTCTGATAAACAATTCAACTACTGTCATAAAAGATAGTTTGAATACTTCAAGGAAAACTACAAAACACCGTTGTGTTAATAATCAATATACAACTAAAACAAACAGTAGTTTGAATAAGAATAATGTTAGCAACCCATATTCTAGAAATACAACAAACGATAACAGTTGTCTGATGTTATTTTTGTTTAGTAGTCTTCCGAGCAGTTGTCTGATATATCTTTCAATTACTTTTTAAAGTAGATGTCTATATTGTTGAACGACAACACCAAGAATTAGGAGTCTGAAGTTAAAAACAACAGTAGTATTCATTATAGATAGACAACAAAAAATCACAGTTCTCTTTAACTTTAAAAAACAGATGTCTTACTCATACAAGGACAACACTAAAAAGTCGTACTCTAAAACATTACAAAACCGGTGTCGTCAACCATTTTACACAATTGTTTTTAAACAATAGTCTGTAAATATATCAGACAGCTGCTCGGAAGACTACTGAAATCAGCACCGAGAGACTACTAAAAGAAACAGTTGTCAGCATCTGTTTTTGACGTAGTGTGTGTCCCTACATCAAGTTTGAAGTTGTAGGGATTTTTCCTTGTAGCTCTAAACTTGTTGGGATTGTAATCATAGTTGTAGGCATAAAACTTCCTACGTGCAGGAGGTGCAATTTCCTGTTTTCTCCTAGCAAACCTAGGTTGGTAAGACCTATAGTTTTGTCTAGGTTGTGCATAGTGTGACCTGTGTCGGTTATAAGCATACTTAGGTGGCACAAATAGTTTTTGAGGTGGAGGATGACTATATCTTGGCATAGTTCTCCACTCAGAATTTTTTGGAAAACTCCTGTCTACCCCATAATGAGTATAGCCTCGTGTATATTGGGGGTTAGAAGGTTTTCTTCTGAAATTGTTTCCTTTTTGAGGTCTGTCCAGCTTCCTATAGTTCTTAGGAGGGACTACCTTTTTGGGAACTTCTGTTGGTTTCTCCTTTTCCTTCCCTTTCTGCTTATTTGGTTTGGCAGTAGGTTTAGGAGGGATGAAAGTTGTTTTCCCTTTCCTTTTGGAACTAGAGGGGTCAAACCCAAGTCCTTCACGACCCTTATGTTTGGTCGTTTCAAGAAGCTTGTTCACTGCTTCTTTGGACTTAAGTATCCCTAGCTCTTTGTTAAGGGATTTCACCTTTTCAGAGAGAGATTCATTTTCAGTCTTGAGTTGAGTGATCTCATTCAGTTGACTTTTCCGACTTTCAGTCAACTTGAGATTCTCTTCACTCAATAGTTTGTTCTCTTCTGTTAAGGATGAGTGTTTGAGATTTATCTCCTCAAAATCTTTCATCATCTTTTTGAACTGGTCAAAAAGATTTTCAGAAGTTGGTATGCTATAAGAAGATGAGCAGGAGGTTTGTGAGGTTACCTCTTGATCAGCATCATCTTTGGCCATTAGGCAGAGAGTGTCATCTTCTGACATAGTCCACCTATCCTCATGGTTGGACTTCTCAACTCTGCGCTCCATGCAGACGAGGGCTTCTTCATCCGAGCTTGAGCTGGATGACTCGTCACTTTCAGCAGCAACCATTGCCTTCTTTTTCTTCTCGTTCCTTTCTCTTTCTCCGTACTTCTCCACCTTTGGGTACGGGNTCTACCCCATAATGAGTATAGCCTCGTGTATATTGGGGGTTAGAAGGTTTTCTTCTGAAATTGTTTCCTTTTTGAGGTCTGTCCAGCTTCCTATAGTTCTTAGGAGGGACTACCTTTTTGGGAACTTCTGTTGGTTTCTCCTTTTCCTTCCCTTTCTGCTTATTTGGTTTGGCAGTAGGTTTAGGAGGGATGAAAGTTGTTTTCCCTTTCCTTTTGGAACTAGAGGGGTCAAACCCAAGTCCTTCACGACCCTTATGTTTGGTCGTTTCAAGAAGCTTGTTCACTGCTTCTTTGGACTTAAGTATCCCTAGCTCTTTGTTAAGGGATTTCACCTTTTCAGAGAGAGATTCATTTTCAGTCTTGAGTTGAGTGATTTCATTCAGTTGACTTTTCGGACTTTCAGTCAACTTGAGATTCTCTTCACTCAATAGTTTGTTCTCTTCTGTTAAGGATGAGTGTTTGAGATTTATCTCCTCAAAATCTTCCATCATCTTTTTGAACTGGTCAAAAAGATTTTCAGAAGTTGGTATGCTATAAGAAGATGAGCAGGAGGTTTGTGAGGTTACATCTTGATCAGCATCATCTTTGGCCATTAGGCAGAGAGTGTCATCTTCTGACATAGTCCACCTATCCTCATGGTTGGACTTCTCAACTCTGCGCTCCATGCAGACGAGGGCTTCATCCGAGCTTGAGCTGGATGACTCGTCACTTTCAGCAGCAACCATTGCCTTCTTTTTCTTCTCGTTCCTTTCTCTTTCTCCGTACTTCTCCACCTTTGGGTACGGGCATGCTGACTTCCAGTGGCCAGGCTTCCTGCAATTATAGCATAAATAAGATTCAGGAGGGGAGTCACTTACTTGTGGCTTTCCCTTGAATGGCCTTCTGACTGAATCAGCCTTCTTGAAGAACTTCTTGAACTTCCGGAATTGCTTGACCATCATGGCAAATTCCTCATTGTAGTTCTCCATTTTTGAGCTTGACGGCTGGCTGGAGGAAGGTGTGTCACAGTTTCTTGTGCATGTCCCTTCACTTGATGGGATTCTTGGAGTTGTCATCAATGCCGTGGGGAAGGGAGTGACTTGTTCTTCCTTCTTCTTCTTCAGCTCGTGCTCATAGGTTCTGAGTTCATCAAGGAGACCTTGAACAGTGTAGTTCTCTAGGTTTCTTCCTTCTTCCATGGCTGTGGCTTTGGTGTACCACTCAGTTGGGTGTGATCTCAGCAACCTTACATTCTTTTCTTTAGGAGAAAGAATGTGATTAAGTGAAGCAAAATCATTCAATATCTTGTGGAATCTTTCATCCAACATATCAAATGATTCTCCGGGAAGCATTTTGAAGCTTTTGAACTTCTCAAGCAGGACTTCTATCTTCTGCTTTCTCAGGTCCTCTGATCCCTCACATAGCTTCCCAAGACCTTGCCAAATCTCCATGGCAGTCTTGAGATGCTTAATCTTGGAGAAGGTGATGGGATCAAGTGTCTTGAAGATGGCTGCTTTGGCGA